ATGGAGCTCCATCAAAGGCCAGGGACTACTTCCAGATTGAGAGTCCTGAACATGGACAACACAGAGACTGAATGGAGCTCCATCAAAGGCCAGGGGACTACTTCCAGACTGAGAGTTCTGAACACGGACAACACCGAGACTGAATGGAGCTCCATCAAAGGCCAGGGACTACTTCCAGACTGAGAGTCCTGAACATGGATAACTAAGAGACTGAATGGAGCCCTACCCCTATGTAAGGCCAGGAATCCCGCTGTCACATCCCTCCCACACTCACTGGTTAGATCCTGGACCTGCAAGAGCTCCCCAGAGTTTGCTCCTCTCCAGGTCCAACAGCTGCACTGGGGTTTTTTTTTTGTTGGTTTTCTCCCTTTTGCTATTTCCTTGTTTTTGTTTGCTTATTCTTTCTCCTCTTTCTTCTCTTTCCATTCCCTTGAATTTTATCCTTTTTATCTCCACTTTTGTTTTCCTTCTTGTCCTCTCTCACTTCCCTTCTTCTTCTTTTCTTTACTAATCTCCTAATTTTTCTTTACTCTCTTTCTCGTCTCATCTTTCCTCCCTCTGGTGTTTCTAAGTGTTATTTTCATTTTTATTTCTTCTTTTTACTTTCCCTCCTATAGCTCCATTTTCTTGTTCCTCTTTTTTCTTTACAGTTATTACATTCTTTTCTTCTAGTCTCTGAATGTTTTGAAGTATTTTTTTTTTCTCCTTTAGTATTTTTTCTTTTCACTGTTGGCTGGTTGGTTGGTTGGTTGTTCAATGTTTTGTTTCATGGTGACAAGGGAAAGAGGGGTCCTTCTCTTTCCTACCCAACAAAAGGCAGTGACTATACCCATACATCCCAGCCACAACCATACCCTCTGTAGCAACACCCACTGGGCAAGAGCCAGTACCAGCTCTTACATCATCTGATCAATGATAGCAACCAACACCAGCCAAACCCACTCTAAACTGAGGTGCATGAAAGGAGAATGGTGCACACACCCCCATTCTCTAGTAACTACACAGGTAAGAGCCTTTCATCAATTAAATACAAATATGAAAACACGACAATATACCAGAGACAACAGATCATTTTAGCTCACACAAAGAAACAAGAGAGAATGGTACAAACAAATGACCAAGATACAGATCCAAAAAACGTTTCTGAGGATGAAAAGATCATGGAACTAACTAAAAAAGAACTCAAAAAGACTGATATTTAGGTACCTACAAAGTATTGACGGAAAGATTGAGGAAAGTAAGGAAACACAAAAAATTTGAGAAAATTTCAGGAAAACACTACAAGAACAAACAGATAAAATGCAAATTTTGAAATAATACAAAGCCTGCAATTAGAAATCCAGAAGATTAACACTAAGATCTCAGAAATGGACAATACATGGAAAGTGCAAAGAGCAGACACAAAGCAATGTAAGTCCAAATTAATGAACCTGAAGACAAATCTCTTGGTATTACTATGCTAGAAGACCTACCAGAAAAAAGAATGAAAAAAGCTGAAGACAGGCTAAGAGTTATGTGGGACACCATGAAGAGCAACAACTATGGGTAATAGTAAGAATTACATAACAGAAAGAAACAAGCACAGAGAAAATTGTCAAAGAGCTGTTGGAAGAAAACTTCAACATCATGAAGACAAGCATATATGAAGCTGAATGATCCCCAAAAGAAAATCACCAAAACATATAATAATCAACCTTTTTAAAACCAAAGACAAGGAAAGAACACTGAGAGCAGCTTGGGAAAAATGAAGTTACCTACAAAGGAGAATCAATAGGATGAGGCTCTGATTTCTCAGCAGAAACTATGCAGCCAAGAAAGCACTGGGATGAAATAGATACAAAACTCTGAAGGAAAAAACTGCCAACCAAGAATCATACACCCAGTAAAGGAGTCCCTCAAATCTGACAACAAAATTAGGACATTTCCAGATAAACAAAAATGAAAAGAATTTGTAATAACAAGATCAACTTTACAAAAATACTACAAGATGCTCTTTGGACTGAGACCCAACACAGCAGACAACAATTTGAGATTAACATACAGGACAATACCATCCAGAATTCTATCTAGATATGTTTTTGTTGTTATTATTGTTAAATACCACTGAGTCAGTTCCAACTCATAGAGACCCTGCATAGGGTTTCCAAAGAGTGGCTTGGCTGGTGGGTTTGAACTGCCAACCTTGCAGTTAATAGTTCTTAGTTCATCCTACAGCATTACACCAAGACTCCAATCTAGATACAGAACTCTCTAAAGTAAAACAAACCTACTAAATATACAGAACCACAGGCATTAATTTATAATGAATTCAACTAAAATGCAAAGAGAGGGAATCCCGTCGATTCAGAACTTCCAAATGGTGATAAAGTCAAGTAGATTGCAAGATAAAACAGATTTGCTTTAACCAGGAAAAAATATTAATAAATTACAGGATAACCTCAAAGAAAATTACTACACACTTCAATTTTAGTCTATTTATATTAACTATAAAAAAAGGAAGATCAGAAAGATTCAGTAGACATTAGCATAACAGAAAGGAAGAAAAACGAAAAGAAACCTCATAAACAAAATGAATTCAGCACAGAGAGTTATGTGGAACAAAGAAACCAACCATCATCAAAAACAAAACAACAATATACAGGGAGGGAGAGGGAAGTGGAGAAACGGGGCAGATGGGAGAACAACTGAGCATGTTCGAAAGGGCTAAATGGGACAAAGATAAAGGATATATGCACAGCCTTGGAA